CAGCTGGAACCGACCTTCGAATCTCTTCACGGCACACTTTCACTCGAAATGGACGTAAGCTCATCAATTTGGAATTAATAGAATGGACGAGATGAGAAAAAGATTAGAGTGAATATTTGTAGTGCATCCCAATTGTTGTCCAGCATGACACCTTGTCGTCATGTCATGGTCTTACTGTAGCCTTTGTATGCTTGTCTGATTTGACAGAGTGTGAAATGGCAATTGCGGCCGAAATGGAGCGAAGAGATGAACAAAATGGGCGACTAAATGTCGAGATGCCCAACTCTTGTTGCGATGAAATGTAGAGGAGAGAGCCTCAAGAATAGACCCGATAAGCTGACCAGCAGACAGCATCGAAGCTGCGAGTGTGACAAGAGGCACTCGGACAAGGTCACGTTGAAAGATAGACTGCCAGTGTTGCGCTGTTGCTTCAAATGACCACAGTCCACTCGCCACATGTGACTGAGTTCGCCATAACTGCCCACCTTTATGGGGGCAAGTGGGTGGGGGTGAGGCCGAGGCTGAGTGCACTGAAATGGTAGCATGAGGCCCACAGTCATGCTGTCGTGTGCATCTCCAATTGGCAGTCGTCATCTCATGTAAACCCACTTGGGCTGAAGTCATTCGCATTTGGTAGATCCCAAACCAACCAGCAGAGCTGGACTAAGAGACCCATTCAGCCTAGGCTACATGAGATGAAGGAGAATTGATAGACGCTCTTGCCCACAGTGACATGAGGATGTGATTGATAGAATTATAGGAAAATAGGACTTACTGTCGTTCATTACTTTTAAATGAAATATTGTGAGATGTATTTGTATAAGAGTAGGGTTTCTAGATGAAGCAAATGTATTTTTGCTATAACAATCGAATACGTTATTTTATTTTTCGCATTTAAGTATTGTTTTAAGGACCATTAAATCAGTAGTATGAGATGTATTCACCCAATTTCGTCTAAGGTGATGAAGGACTGGTAGAAGAAGAATTTCCCACAATTATGTAAGTTGAACAATCGACTACTATAATTTATTTTTTTCGAATTAAGTATTGTTTTTGTGACTACCAGTAACTCAGTAGTATGAGATGTATTCACCCAATTTCGTCTAAGGTGATGAAGGAGTGGTAAAAGAAGAATTTTCCCACAATGATATGAGTTGAGCTGACGTTTCCATTCAATTTCCCATTGCCTTGCTTTCCCAAAAGGTGTCCTCATCACCTTAACGAAATCGGGTAAATAAATCTCATACAATTAGAAATAGGTAAAAACACTTTTTAGACGTATTTT